ACCCACTTCACACGCATAAGGAGGATCGCCCGCCGAAGGCGGGCGATCCGACTGGCCCTCAGTTTGGATGGCCGGGGACCCACTTCACACGCATAAGGAGGATCGCCCGCCGAAGGCGGGCGATCCGACTGGCCCTCAGTTTGGATGGCCGGGGACCCACTTCACACGCATAAGGAGGATCGCCCGCCGAAGGCGGGCGATCCGACTGGCCCTCAGTTTGGATGGCCGGGGACCCACTTCACACGCATAAGGAGGATCGCCCGCCGAAGGCGGGCGATCCGACTGGCCCTCAGTTTGGATGGCCGGGGACCCACTTCACACGCATAAGGAGGATCGCCCGCCGAAGGCGGGCGATCCGACTGGCCCTCAGTTTGGATGGCCGGGGACCCACTTCACACGCATAAGGAGGATCGCCCGCCGAAGGCGGGCGATCCGACTGGCCCTCAGTTTGGATGGCCGGGGACCCACTTCACACGCATAAGGAGGATCGCCCGCCGAAGGCGGGCGATCCGACTGGCCCTCAGTTTGGATGGCCGGGGACCCACTTCACACGCATAAGGAGGATCGCCCGCCGAAGGCGGGCGATCCGACTGGCCCTCAGTTTGGATGGCCGGGGACCCACTTCACACGCATAAGGAGGATCGCCCGCCGAAGGCGGGCGATCCGACTGGCCCTCAGTTTGGATGGCCGGGGACCCACTTCACACGCATAAGGAGGATCGCCCGCCGAAGGCGGGCGATCCGACTGGGCCTCAGTTTGGATGGCCGGGGACCCACTTCACACGCATAAGGAGGATCGCCCGCCGAAGGCGGGCGATCCGACTGGCCCTCAGTTTGGATGGCCGGGGACCCACTTCACACGCATAAGGAGGATCGCCCGCGAAGGCGGGCGATCCGACTGGCCCTCAGTTTGGATGGCCGGGGACCCACTTCACACGCATAAGGAGGATCGCCCGCCGAAGGCGGGCGATCCGACTGGCCCTCAGTTTGGATGGCCGGGGACCCACTTCACACGCATAAGGAGGATCGCCCGCCGAAGGCGGGCGATCCGACTGGGCCTCAGTTTGGATGGCCGGGGACCCACTTCACACGCATAAGGAGGATCGCCCGAAGGCGGGCGATCCGACTGGCCCTCAGTTTGGATGGCCGGGGACCCACTTCACACGCATAAGGAGGATCGCCCGCCTTCGGCGGGCGATCCGACTGGCCCTCAGTTTGGATGGCCGGGGACCCACTTCACACGCATAAGGAGGATCGCCCGCCGAAGGCGGGCGATCCGACTGGCCCTCAGTTTGGATGGCCGGGGACCCACTTCACACGCATAAGGAGGATCGCCCGCCGAAGGGGGCGATCCGACTGGCCCTCAGTTTGGATGGCCGGGGACCCACTTCACACGCATAAGGAGGATCGCCCGCCGAAGGCGGGCGATCCGACTGGCCTCAGTTTGGATGGCCGGGGACCCACTTCACACGCATAAGGAGGATCGCCCGCCGAAGGCGGGCGATCCGACTGGCCCTCAGTTTGGATGGCCGGGGACCCACTTCACACGCATAAGGAGGATCGCCCGCCGAAGCGGGCGATCCGACTGGCCCTCAGTTTGGATGGGGGACCCACTTCACACGCATAAGGAGGATCGCCCGCCGAAGGCGGGCGATCCGACTGGCCCTCAGTTTGGATGGCCGGGGACCCACTTCACACGCATAAGGAGGATCGCCCGCCGAAGGCGGGCGATCCGACTGGCCCTCAGTTTGGATGGCCGGGGACCCACTTCACACGCATAAGGAGGATCGCCGCCGAAGGCGGGCGATCCGACTGGCCCTCAGTTTGGATGGCCGGGGACCCACTTCACACGCATAAGGAGGATCGCCCGCCGAAGGCGGGCGATCCGACTGGCCCTCAGTTTGGATGGCCGGGGACCCACTTCACACGCATAAGGAGGATCGCCCGCCGAAGGCGGGCGATCCGACTGGCCCTCAGTTTGGATGGCCGGGGACCCACTTCACACGCATAAGGAGGATCGCCCGCCGAAGGCGGGCGATCCGACTGGCCCTCAGTTTGGATGGCCGGGGACCCACTTCACACGCATAAGGAGGATCGCCGCCGAAGGCGGGCGATCGCGACTGGCCCTCAGTTTGGATGGCCGGGGACCCACTTCACACGCATAAGGAGGATCGCCCGCCGAAGGCGGGCGATCCGACTGGCCCTCAGTTTGGATGGCCGGGGACCCACTTCACACGCATAAGGAGGATCGCCCGCCGAAGGCGGGCGATCCGACTGGCCCTCAGTTTGGATGGCCGGGGACCCACTTCACACGCATAAGGAGGATCGCCCGCCGAAGGCGGGCGATCCGACTGGCCCTCAGTTTGGATGGCCGGGGACCCACTTCACACGCATAAGGAGGATCGCCCGCCGAAGGCGGGCGATCCGACTGGCCCTCAGTTTGGATGGCCGGGGACCCACTTCACACGCATAAGGAGGATCGCCCGCCGAAGGCGGGCGATCCGACTGGTATCATATAACGCACATATTCCCCAAACAGGAACAATGAGGGTGACATGGTTAGAAATGGAAAGCTTCTTGAGTTACTGATTTGCCGAAAGTTGTAGTGAAAAACAGGATGCAGGGAAGTGATATCATTGCGAACAACAACAACAACAACACCTACACAGGAGCCCCTCAAAGTAGCCACCTTATCTGCTTATATTAGCAACAACTTTAGCTGTCGTAGCAACCAGAAATAGTTCATGATCGGAGGCAATGTACGCTATGGCTCTAGAGGCTCTTCTTCCTAATATGGGCTCCTCTATTCCCCGCCTTCTCCCCTTCCAGCTCCCTCCCATTGAGAAATCTTCAGCGAAGAGCGTGCTCTGACTGCAGACAAGAGTTTTCGTAAAAGAAAAATTCGTTGTGAAATGGCATGATGAGACCCACATGCTCAACTGGCACTGCAGTACAATGAACATTAGGGAATATGATCTTCTGCGGCAGACAAGTTTTGCGATGTCACTCGTCCAAATCCCATGAAAAGATTCAGAAGCGTATGAAACGTTCATTTATCATTGACTACTTGAACTTCTTCTTTCCTCCTAATTACGTTAACCCTAGAATCGATCTTTGGATACTCTGAGATCGACAGTGTTCCGGCAGAAGTTGTGCCGCTCACAATGAGTTGTTTAAATTCAGAGCCCACGATCAGTTATAACTGTCTCAGCTCATCGATCGTATGATGAGGTAGGGTGGACTGCAGCGAACCGCCTTGTGTTTCACGTCAGAAATTGGCAATCTAGCGGCGGAAAAGCACAACGGTGCTTAAGCGACTCGGCCTACAGGGATAGATGCCTTATCTGGGCCCTACTTCGTCTGCATGCTCCCTCGCTGTTTTCGCAGTCTCTCTTCCGATATCCACATTGAATGTTACATTGAATACACATATTTATATGCAGTGAATATTTATTTTTTGACGTGACGCACCTAGGGCCTTATTCGGGGTCTTCTTGACAGTTTCCTCTATTTTTTCCTCGATAAAGTTGACTAGCGCATACAATTCTGTTTCTCAACCCAGCTGAGCAGCTACACTTCTTATCCCTGAGCCAGAGTAGGCGTGGCATTTGAACATGGCACGGAACTGGTTACTCGTGGAATATTCCAGTCTGGGACAACTGTCATCTTGTTCTGTGTTGGACAGAGACACGACAACATTCCACCAGAAGCATAAACACCTTCAGGTTAAGTTGAAAAATATTCAGCCCCGCCTACCCGATCTCAGGGATAGAGGCCTGGCCAGCCATGCGAGCACATCAGCCCGGCTGGATGGAGCTTGAAGAATGGCCTGTGGCTCATAGCTCCCTTTAAGAATTGCGCTAGAACGTAGGGTCCTCAGGACGTCAGGGACCCTGTTTCTGGAAGCTATTTTACCGGCGAAAGTGTGAAACGCGCGTACACTGGAAGGAGAAGCACTTTGTTTCGAAGCTCAGGACAACGAGGAGCCCCCGAAGACATGATGGAAGGACGTCATGAAGAAGGACTCAAGGCTGAGGTCATGACAGAAGCCCATGGATATTTGAAAGCCAACAGAAATAGCGGGCGCGACGGCGCGGGATAGAGGCAGTGCAGAAGAAGAATGCGACGGAGAAGACGTAATGCGGTAGAATAGGAAATGCTACAAAGATGTGTAATATAAGAACCCGTCCGCTATCATGTGCAGACAAGAAGCGACACATTTTCCAATGAGCCCTTCCACGCTCTGTGAAAAATGGACGAGTCAAAACAATTCCTTGGTTAAAAGAGGGTCTCATTATGATCTCCCCTTGGACTTGGAGCAAGCCATCCTCACCCAGTTTGCCAGTGATATGGCGCCTACATGGTCAATCTAGGTTGGCGTTCGCTCCACGGAGTGAACGAAAGAGAACTTACTTATACCTTAAACATGTGTGTTGTAAAGTTCAGAAGGTCCGAAAATCCGCATACTGTTCCCGATGTCAAGTACTGTCAACCATTGAGTATCGCCTCGCCCCCCCCTCCCCAATCTAGCAGGTTGAAAAGATTGCCCTCCTGAGTTTCGACAACGAATCGCGACCTCTGTTAGGTTTGTTTTCACTTTCAACACTGATAGGTGTTCTTCAGAAGATAGGATACTTTGAAATGGCTACACCAGTCTAGCATTTTTAGGAATCTAACTGGAGGGAAATTCTCGCGGCAGAAACTTCAAAAACCTTTTATGTCATCCTACTGTTCAATTGCCCGTGGAAGGGAAAGGTTCGCTGTTGAATAAATCCTTTTCGGGGTTCTCTTTCACCCAGAATAGCAGCAACTTGCTTGGGACACGGCATTTGGAACGACATGCGGTGCGGTGCTAAAAAGGTGTTATCACCATCTGAAGCACTTTATACCTATCGCTGACCGACGAGAGGTGGAAAGTGATTGTCCCAGGAGTGAGTTGGTCTGACCCTTAACTTTTGGACCCCGTGTGTTCTAGTCGGGTCACGTGCCAATATACCACTTCTATCCTCTTCCCCGTAGCTAAAAAATATGAAAAAATATGGCTGTCGAATAGTAACAGTTGTATTTTTCCTATGAATGAAGAGGCAAACCTTAGCTGTCTGTTTGAGTGTGGAGTCCTTTGGCAGTTCTATGTGTCTAGGCTCGTACTGCTTGAATTGTGGCATCTCAGCAGCCACTTTGCCAGGGGTGCGTTGAGGTGCTTTGACTGGTTCTGCAATTAAAACTTTAATGCGCATATGTACAAAAATCAGAAATAGCTTCAAACTCAGTACCATTGGTTTGCAATGGTACAGGATCCGGTCTGGGCTTGATCTTCGGAGGTGGTGCAGCTGGAGCAGCAGGCTTAGCTGGAGGAGGAGGAGCGGTCTTTGGAGGTACAGCCGCTACAGGTTTCGCTGCCGGTTTCTGTTGCGCTGCTGGAACCTGCTGGGCTTGTTGTGCCTTGGCCTTTTGCTGTGCCTCTGCTTGCGCCTTTCTTGCCTTTTCGAGAGCTTCGGCTTGGGCTTTCTTGGCTTGGGCTTCAGCCTGGGCCTTTGCCTGCGCTGCTGCTGCTTTAGCTTTAGCTTCTTCCTGTGCCTTCTTGGCTTGAGCCTCAGCCTGCTCTTTGGCCTGGGCTTGTGCTTTAGCCTTAGCATCTTCTTGCGCTTTTCGTGCTTGTGCTTCAGCCTGCGCTTTCGCTTGAGCTGCCTTGGCCTGGGCATCAGCTAGGGCTTTCGCTTGTGCTGCAGCCTTAGCCTTCTCTTCCGCGTCCTTCTTAGCCTTTGCTTCGGCTTCGGCTTTGGCTTGTTGAGCCTTTCGGAGTGCTTCCTCCTGCGCCTTTTTCGTTTGCTCTTCCGCTGCTCTCCTTGCTGCTTCTTGCTGTGCTTTCAACTGCGCCTGTCGTTCTTGTTCCGCCGCAGCTCTGGCCTGAAAAAAAGTGAGTAGTTACTATTCCATAACTGAATCTCCCAAATACATTTCCTGATTTGGGCATCTTCCCGAAACCAAATCCCTTATGGCAGATCGTACAGTGCTTTTCTGGAAACGCGTGGACATAGATGATTCCCATTAATTTTCACAGCTAAAGCGTGTTGAATGTAACTGTGCAGCTTCGGCAGGACGAAGAAACGTTGACGAGGATAGAATGAGCACGTCTTACGCACAGATTCATGCAACTCTTAGTAATGCGAATAAAGAGTCCGAAAAGGACTGACTAAAGTTGTTTTACTTCCAGCTTTCGGTAAACTAAAGCAAAAAATCAATAGAGTGAGAATTTAAGCACCACTTTGCCCGTTGTTTCTCAACATTGGTGTGATTTTTTAATATTTGGAAGGGATCCTTTAGCAGTCACGAAAAGAGCAATCCTCCGGGTAAGCAGGCGACTCTCCATTCCTTGATGTATTTTTCCCATCGTCCATACTCATTTTCCTTCCGACTGTTTTGCTCTTTTCGATCTGCAGCACCTAGGAACAACTGAAGCGAAATGAAGGACTCCCTTCACCATCAAAGGAACTGGTAGGAACACCTTAGCAACACTGTAATGCAATTCGAATGCGCATATCGAAGAAGATAAAATTGGATTAATAGGACTAGCTTATTCTTCTCCCTGTGCATTATTCATATTGCATCTGCTTTCAAAAAAAGGATATGGATGTGGTTTTCGGGGTCGAAACCGTAAAAGCAATGAAATACAGTCCTAACCTATTTTCTTCGCCCGGAAGTAAGATGGGTTCGTGAGATTCTATTCCAAGTGAAACCTTCCTTTTAGAGCTGGTTAGGCCTGGGTAAAGACACATGGTACGACTACACATAGTTTGGGTGTGGGTGTGACTATCAGTCCCTAGCAGGGTACAGCATGGGGATGTGCGAAATGTCGGTGTGAGTACGACCCCCCCCCCTTCGAATGGGGTCCAGGCACGACCCCCCCCCTCCACCTCCACGGCTTTTTCGCCGTAAGCCAATTTAGCAATAGGAATTTACAGGTCTTCACGGTGACTTGTCCTTTCGTTAAGTACCATTTAGTGCCCCCACCAAGCCAAACAGCGCCCGCATTTTTTGCTATTAAAGAAAAACATAGGTAGTGCCCCGGTAAGCTTACAGACACGAAAGAAGTTGCTTTCCTCTTCCTTGCATATTCTCACTTCATAATTGGCTTCCAAGTACTTTTTATTGGGTATTTCACCGACTTTTCACCGACATCAATTAACTGGAATAAGAGGTATGGTTTTATTAATCTCGACAAAGTACAAGTGTCCAGATTGGTGTAACCATCAACGTTTCAAAGCCGTGAAATTAATTACTAAAAATTAAGTAGTTTGTGAAACTAGATGCCTATAAGTTACTCGCAATTGAATGAATTGAAAACGAGAAAATAACCTTTCAACATACGCGAAACATACGTGACACTCGAGGCAACTATGCGCCTTGCACAGATGCGCCTTATACCCCGGAAAATAGGGGAGTTGATGTGGCTGAAAGAAAAAAAGGAGCACTTTGGCTCGGTAGGGGTGTGTAGCTGGTTTCCACTGATCATTGCCGATGCTTCCTGCGGAGATCTGTTAGCTCCTGTGAACTGAGCAATAGAAAAAGCTTCATTTACAGTTGACAGAAGTCTTCTGGCTTTACAAAGGTGGAACATGCAATTCAACACAATCGTACAAAAGAGACCAGCAGGAGTGCAAAGTGCTCCCTCTCCCTAAACAGAACAGCGCTAAAAAGTTCTCAGCATTGATGCTATCGCGTCGAGAGTACCCGAGGTATTCCGAAGTAATCGCGTGTATTTTGATGACTATTTTGATGTACGGATCTTTTTTCAGTAAATGTCTTACACTTACCGCCTCTGCTTTCTTTCTCATCTCCTCCTCCATCTGTCGAGCGTAGTCTTCTTCCTAAAATAATGCTTATATTTAACTCTGAGAAAAAAAAGGTGAACAGAACACAATGCTGGGAGGTATACGTGATGAGCAATGTAGTCCTGACAAGGGTAAAAGTGAGAAAACGCGTTAGAAAGTAAGGTAAATGAAGTTGTTACGTCTCTTTCTACGATTGCTATAGAACCGGAAGCAATTAGTGACTGTATTCTTCGCTTTGGTAGCAGCACTCAGCTCATTTCTTCTATTCACAACCACTTGTTTTTCACTCATCCCTTCACTCACCGCAGGATTTCATAATGAATTGAGTGGTGCTTGAACTAGGGCTGGAAGAATCCCTTACTGAAACTAGGCCGCAAATCGCCCAGGGGAGGTGTGTTATGAAATTCCGTCGACATGGAGACTGCGAAATCTCATGGAGCTCTGAAGCCCTTCTAAGGCAGCGTTCATTCTTTGCCGCAGCGCCCGCCAACGACCATCACCGTCCTGATGGGCTGGGAAAGCACAAACATCGATCTAGCGTCTACCGACGTTCAACGGCGACCATGGGGATGTAGAAGCGTAGCAGACTGCTAGTAGAGTATGGGGATGTAGGAGGGAGGAGGACAGCTGAAATAGGTGGAACATGTAACATGCGGGACCGCACAATACGCACAATACCATTTTCGTGGTCGCTAGGGGTCGCTGGTGGACGCTGGTCAACGCTGCCATCAGAGACCATCAGCGTTTGGAGCATTCGAGCGATATCAGTACTTTCCTAGTAGCTAACGCTGACGGACCTTGAAACGCTGGTGGTCGATAGTGATCGCTGGTGG